CGCGTCTGCTGGTTGCCCGGCAGGAGAGAGTTGGGCTGGGGCAGCCTGAGAGAAGGCTCCAGCTGAGGAGACCTGCTGGGGTCTGCCAGGACTGCCAGGGGCCTGTCAGAAAGCTGGGGACAGATTTTTGAGCAGGGCCTGTTGGGACAGGACAAGGGCTGATGGATTTAAACTAAAAGAGGGAGACTGAGTTTAGGTATTAAGAAGAAATTTTTGACCCTGGGGGTGGTGAGCCTCTGGCCCAGGTTGCCCAGAGAGGTGGTCGCTGCCCCATCCCTGGAACCATTCCAGGTGAGGTTAGCCAGGGCTCTGAGCAACCTGCTCTAGTTGCAGATGTCCCTGCTCCCTGCAGGGGGGTTGGACTCGATGACCTTGAAAGGTCCCTTCCAACCCAAACCAGTCTGTGACTCTGTGACTTCACTGTCTTACAAGGTGATATGGACAGTTTCCCAATACAATAGAGAATTTCACCAAATAGGGGGTAAACACTAAATTTTCCTTGAACTCTTGGAGCTCAGCATGGAATTCTCTTTCTAGATACTTGTTAGGTGTAATCACAAGTGCTTTTCTGTGATTAAACAATATTCAGATAAAACACTAAGTCAGACAATATATATTGTCTCTCTCTATATATTGTCTGACTGTTTTTTATATAGATATATAAAACAGCATATGAGATTAAAATCATGATTATTAGTGCTGCATCATCTGGTTTTAGAGGTACAGAACTTGGTCCATGGTTTGAAAATTAGAAAATCAGATGTCATAGTTCCATGTAATTAATGGCAAACGAATCCACAGTTCTGTAATGATAAAATATGTGTGGCTATTACATGCTACTTAATCATATTTTTAAAATATTAAAAACCACAGGTAAACCAGATCAACTAAAGGAATTTTCTGTGTAAATGGGTAAAAATACAGAATTATGAGCATGCCCAAAGGAGGCCTGAATAAGAAACATTTTTTCATGATGACTTAAGGTGTCCTGACTTCTTCTCTCTGATCACAAGATTCCAGTATGTTTCCTCCAGCCTAGTAGCCTTTTTGAAGGCTCAGAAAGGAGACAGATAAATTTCAGTACCATCATATCTTACACCAGGCCTGTGTCCCAAGCCGATAATATAAAATTAAATTTCAATTAGAAATAATCTAGAAGCAATAATAGAAAAATTATCCATATGCAACTTCAGTCTCACCTTTCTGCCATCAGTGGTATATAGTTTTGCAACTGGATATTGCATTAACTCACTCATATAATCCAGAAAGGCCTCAAAGGTTTGTGTATTTTTCTTTCCCAGAACTATGGTGCGCCTGAGCCTTACATCCCCATTTTTGAAAACAAGCATCTTTTTGGGAGTTGTTATTTTGATTTCTCGATGGCCGTATCCACCTTCATTCTCCCTTGCCAACTGCACAGCACGGCGGCGAGCGCTGACAGGCCTGCTGATCTGCCAGGGCAGAGGCTTTTTGCTAGCCTGTTCCAGGTTGATGGGCTTCATTTTCCGCTGATGGGAGCAAATATAAGATTTTCCATCTTCAAGATCCTCCAAATTGGTAATGCTGTGTCTCCCTTTTGGTGTACTAATATTCCGTACTCCAAAAGGTAAAGGGACCCGTTTGGATAAACTGTCCAGCAAGGCATCAAATGTTTTGTAAGACCGGTTATTAATGACCATTTTGATCCCATTGAACTGAGGATCTCCACTTTTATAGAAGCAGATCCGTTTTGCCACCACAGGTTCAGTAACATTGAAGTGGCGTGTGGATAAGCTCTGTTCACTCTCAGAGGAGTTTGGCTGATTCACTGAGTAAGCAGTTGAAGGTGTTTCACTCATTTTGACAACGATCTGGAAGAAAGAGGAGGGGGATGTAAAACTTTTTCCATGACTAGTAATAATACAGGCTTCATTTTGAAAGGTGCAGAATTTATAAGAAACCAACAGCAGCAAGTTGTGCCAAAAATCATTGGATTTAAGTGGATACAAGCTGTTATCTCTAAATTCCACAAAGACTCCAGTACTGTCAGATTAAGTTAGCATAGCTCTACTTGTAAATATTCCCCAAACTCTCTAATGTCATTTCAAATCTCTTATCATTTTGGGACAAGAGACCTTTCCTTAGAAGAAGGTACTTTGTCAGTCAAGAGTGATAATTAGATGTTTTCTTTCTTGAGGATAAAAGTAATGACAGCATTTCATCTTTATGATATTAGAAAAATCCTCATTAGGAGGGAGCAATTTGTGCCTAGGCATGACCCATATTCATTCCAAAATAACAAAACTGAAACACAATACAATTCATTCTGATCTCATATAGCAGTTTTATACCAGGGCAAATCCACTGGAGTCAGAAAAAAGGCTCCTGGTTTACTACACTATAAAGTATACCAGAATAAGGTCCAGAATATGTTTTAGAGTTAAGTTACATCATAAATGGACAGATCATTTTCTTTTCTATTATAAGTTTTATATTTCATGAGACATAAAATACAAAATATTTGCATTTATACCAAGGGGAAAATTTCTGATCAAATAAGACATTTTTAATAAGAGAAAATTCTTTAAATCCTTTATAAAGACATGAAAATTTCAGCTATTCTTCAGTAGAAGCAGCCTTTAAATTGAAACATTTAAATAGTGGTCTTCTAAACAACAGATTTCTCATAACTGTATCAATAGTCTTCATGCTTGAAACTAGAGCACTCTCACTACAATCTTACCATTAGAATCCAATCTACATACAAATGCCGTAATGACAACCCTTTAAATGAATAAAATTGCTTTTTCTTAATGATTGGCTTGCTTTGACTGGAATACAGGGTAGAAATGGCTGGTCAGCTAATCAGCCTCAAGGAAGCAGTTTTAGTAGAGTTTTGCTGAAAAGCTGTATAGCAGTCTCAGGGAATATATTTGTCATCAAAACAATATAAATTAAATTCTTTGACAATGTCACCTTGATGTAGCTGCCTCAATGACCAATGGAACAATCTCTTCTGTCGTCTCCATATTTTTTCTTAATAAAGCCATAGAAAACAATATTTTAACTATTTTCCTACTATATACACCAGTTCTGAAACTGATAAGAAAATGTTGCTATTTTTCAAGACAGTCAAGGTTCAAATAAAGTGAGACTTGACAAGATCTTATCTTGCTGTGTTCTTATAACTTTCCCAATAATACACTGTTTTCAGCTTGGGTATTTTGCCTTCACTAAAAGTTAACTTCTAAGATGTTAGTTATTTTGAACAATGATCAGGGCACAGGAAGAAATGCCTCCTTTTAATACACTGTTTATGCTGTAAATTGTACTCATTCTACGTGCTAAAACTGGGGGAAACAAACAAACAAACAAAAACCAGACAGGTCTGCACTAGAATGATGTACAGAAAGACTGATTTAGGTAATCACAATCTCATTTAAAATAAAAAAAATTAAAAAAAAAAACAAACCCCAAACAAACAACACAACAACAACAACAACAACAACCAAACAACAACAACAAAACCCCTACTATACACACGAAACAAAACCCAACCTGAAAGTATTTAGTTACGAATATGCAGGAAGAAATTTTCAAGCTTGGCTGCAGCAACTTGTACAATTCAGTCTCTGATGGCTAGTGTAATGACCTATTTTCTGTGGTGGGGAGGAGCTCCATTTCAACTGACATCACTGAGAACTATAGTTGCTCATCTTTTTTGACACATCTATTCATTAGCTGTCTAAATTTTCATTACACTTCTAAGATAAGAGGTTGACAGGTGAGGTAAGTCTAGGGACACAATTTCAATGAGCCATTTTGTGCTTCATGAGTCATTCTGTTTATACTGACATTCCTAGAGGAAATCCATAATGGCATTTTCAGCAGAGCAAATGTTCTACTTCAATAAAAGCAGCAATGACAGTAGTAAAGTTCTTGAATGAACTGAATGTTGTGATTCCCCATTTAATTGCCCAAGAAGATCTGAGCTTGCTAACAGAGTCCAGCCCAGGATCTCTGGGGAGAGGGAGAAAACTACAGTCACCGTAAGTAATGGCCAGAGACATAAATGAACAGACATAACTCCTTAGCTACTCTGTACTACAACTTCTCACCCTTTACAAAAACCAAGTGGAATCTCATCTAATGATATGATAATTCACTCTTACAAGAGATAAAATATTTGGATTTTCTCATGAGACTACTAATAATTGCTTTTTAATTAGCCTCTCAGTTGTTCTGGATGTTTGTACTTGTGTAAAACACAGTTACATAAGCATCAGCATTTGGAAGGGAAATACAATACATTTTACATAAAGATAAGTTTAGACTGAGTCTTAACACTGTGGCAGTAATGAAATCCAAACAAAAAAAATCAAGAATACACGTATAAAGAAAAAAGATTATTTTCTTTATAAATATGAAATAAATTGAATTCACCCAAGTAACTAAGAAAAAGACATTTTTCCTTAACAAGACATAAAATGAATGATGAAACAGTTTTGACAGAGGACTGATAGTTGCAAAGCACAACATGTATGAAAGAACTGACGGTTGCATAGCACACCATGTATTAATACTTTCTAGTATTAATTTTAATAGTGAAAATTGCTTATGCATCTTCCAGGTGGCTTATAATTGCATCTTGCAAACAACAAATATTTCAACAAATGACTACTCAGCATATTATAGAAGTTACTATTTCATATTACAGGTGATCACATTGTAATTAGCTTCATTTTATCTTAGAGTGTTGATTTTCTTGCTTAAATAATTTTATTCTGAAATTGAGAAATAGCTGATATTACATGATACATAATGTCTGTTAAGATATTCTAGCAATTAGAACGTTAAGAATTTTATTCTGCAAGAAAATCAAACCGAATTCAATATTGAATCACTTTCTCCAAATTCTCATACAAAACTACTCATTCAAAGTTTATGCACAAAGCTGCTAAATTTTATAAAGACATTTAGTGGAAGGTTTTGTTCTAAATCTATAACAATATCTCTAATGCCATATAGCTAAGTACTGTATATAATTCCATCGTACTCACCCACAGTCACATCCTATGTAAATAAAAGAGTAGCTAGCTTGTTTTCAGAGATTTGTAAATTGTACATGTGATTGTTCATGCCATATAAAATTAACATCCTTAGTCTTATTCCAAGTGCGCTCAGCTAGAAAAAAAAAAATCATAATCCATTTGCTTAATCTCAGCTAATGTTAATCACCAGACCAGGTTCACCTCAGGTAGCCGTTGTTCAGAGCAGAGTATCTAACATCTCATTCAGCAAGTCCTCTTATATTATTTTTAAATTCTACTTACTTTTTAAATATTTCGTTTATATAATTTACTATGTACTTAGGGTTCTCAAGAGACTCACAGAACCATATAAAATAAAAATGTGGGTGGGGAATGTAGGTCATCTAATATATCTTCTTAGTGTAGAGGTATTGTCCAAACTGAATTCTTTACTGCTATTAATTTTAAATATGTTAAAATGGAGCTTTGACCACTCATCTTCTGAAACTATTTATTAACTATCTCCTGGCATTAATTCTCACTTCTGTTCAATCATTTCATCAAGATGATCCTCTTTGTGCTAAAGATTTTCCCATATATTTTCTATTCTGATATCATAATGAAAATATTTCTACAGTTTCTTTCACAACACTCAGCAAAACTGGACAATCTGAAGGAGTTTTGTCGTCCATGAGGTATTCTTCATTTCAACGTGGTGGAAAAAGGGCAATACAACAATTATGAGTTTGCGGGATTATATGAAGAAACAGGATGATTACATCTAACTGTAGCTTAATTACACCACAGAATGTGTTTTGTTTTTTTTTTTCTTTTTCTAGTGGAAATACTATATCCCTGGATGGTGACTGTTCCACTTAATTGCTGCCAGATGTATAATCTGATTTGGAGCTTCTTTGCTTAATCAGGATTACAGCGAAGCCTCAAAACTAGCTGCGTAGAACAGTAACAAAAACACTGCTCCGTAGACACTACCACCACATAGTATATTGGGGTTTTATTATTTTCCTTAGTAGAGAATTTAATGTTTATAGTTTTAAAATACTGCTTCAGTTCCACTTTCATAAAATGCATAGGCACAAACATTAAATTATAACCTTGCACAGATATTTTGCGATAAACAATGCTTTCTTAGATATTGTAATCACATAAACAGTTAGATCCTTTATCTTAGCTAATGTACTGCTTATATTCCAGCCAATATTTTGTTGTTTACAATTACTCAGAAGATGCACATGTACAAATTCTGTGTTATTCTGATGTCTCATAACTTAACCACTTACACAGGAATTTTTATAGAATTTGTTTTCTTTCAAGTGCAAGATTTAAAATATCATTGCTACCTTCATTAGCTTTCCAGTGCATGCAAAGCCACTTTCAGTAACCAGCTAATCCATCAGTAGCTTCCATGTACTACTAGAATTTGACACTCCAGAGATAATATCTTTGGGATCCAGTGAAACTGATAGACAAGTGTCACCATTTGATGGTGTGAATGGCCCTTAATTCTCTAAGAAATCAAAAGGCTTGTAAAGCTTCTGTCCAGACATACGTAACTTAAAAGCTCCACTGTGTTCCTCCTTGTACTACAAACACTCCATATATTCTGAAAAGACAGAAGAAATTGTCAACTTTATAGGAAAAATGAGAATGATATTTAATTTGGACTTAAAGATAACACGCCACAAAAAAAAATCATAGTTTTATAGCAATCAGTATCAACGCAAAAACACTTTTCATCCATCCATGTGGGCAGCTTGACTGACATCTGTAGAACTACTAATATGATGTGATAAGAATTGAGCCTTAATATTTGGAAAACAGTTCTTTTATAGAATCAATTTGCAAAGAAAAGTTGTAGAATACAAAATTAGCCCAGAGAATTTAAGAAGTCAAAATCAGGCCACATGAGAAAACGTATTGGGGATTCATATTGTAAGCACAATTACAATTTTCTGCATTGCTGTCATTCTCACTTTTAAATTATGTGCCTGTTTATCTCCAGAACATCTTCAGTTCTCAGTTATGATACTAAACAGTAAGTTTAACCTCTACTCAATATCCTTCTTGGTCCTAATTTCTGTAATGGTTATTGACTGGTAATAATAATAAAACTGAAAAATATAATAACTAATATAATAACAGAATTTATGACCTAACTTCACCCAGGACACCATATCACTCTGTGGCCATCACTCATTTCAACTCTTGTCTCTCATTAAAAAGAAGAGAAGAGCTCACATTTGGCTTTCTGTGAATGCAGTGGCAGGCAAGTACAGAGATCTACTCATGACCAAGAGCATCAGTGGCAGTTCTTGCAATTCCAAAGGGTTTCCTCTAGAAAGGCAACTGTATAGAGATGACCAGCTGAAGGTCCAGTGCCTGCAGTTAGCCTGCAACACCATTCAACACAGCAAAAGACCTAGGTCAAATAGTTGACCTGCAGTCCCTGGGCTGATCCAGAGCTCAAGTGGGGGTTTTCAAAGTCAAGAGAAAGTTTCTAGCTCACTCCAAAATTCTTTGTATCAGCCCAGAAAAGTACAGCATCAAAATAATTGTAAAAAATATTTTAAACATTACTGTTTCTGATTTTAATTGACTACTCCTTTTCTAAGGACTTCATTTTAGTAACTGCACTGATTAGATGCTACAAGTACCTAAATCTAAACCCAAGACTTTCCATCACGTTCTACAAGTGTTCAGTGTTTCTCAAGATCAGCATCAGGAAACCAATGCTCAAGAACAAAAAAAAAAAAAATGTTAGCAATTACATTATCATGTTTACTGATATATTCTTTTTTCCTTCACTGATAACCAGGAACCCAGGCTGAGAAAAATAACTGCCTTTTCTGCAGCATTATCCTGAGTCAGAGCAGGGGCAGAACCATATGGGATGTGGCCCTCCCTGCCTGGTAGTCCTATGGCCCTTGAATGACACCCTTTGTTTCAGTTCAGAGCCATATGGAACAGCAGTTAACACTGGAGTATTTTTATCATTCAAGCATGAGTCACTTATTTGAAAGGAGCAGTTAAACTATTACTGTTGACCTCACATCCCAAGAAAATGCTGATAATGTGTCTTACATTCCAAGTCCCTTCAACCTCTTGTATCTCTGCTTTTTTTTTTTTTTTTTTTAATTGGACTGCTCACTAAGGTATGGAACTAGGAAACCGCTATCAAGCTAAAAAGGAAATTATCGCATTAGATTCAGGGGCTTGGGTCAAGTTCCCTTCAGTGTGCCCAGACTGCTTACATCCTTTCCAGTAAAGTCTTCCAAAATATGTGCCACTATTAATATGTTACTATTGATAAGATTTTGAGCCATTGCATTACAACAGCATTTTAGTGTTTGGTATACATGAACTTCTTATCAAGTTAGTCCCCACAGACTTTTATTCATTAAATTCTTCAAGATAGATTTGATAACTGACAACTGGGATGCAGAATGAGAAAAATGAAAAATTACACCTCTGGGGAGGAAAACAAAACCAAACAAGAGACCTGCTTTTAAGGGAGCTCTGCCTGGAGGGTTGGATGGACTGCAAAACTCCTGTGTGGTATCTTCTGGATTTTAACCACCACTAAATTTAACTCAAATCTGAGTACTTGTTCGTGTTCAGAAGATAGCTTCCTGTGGGAAATTTCTGGCCTGGTAATAGTACAAACTGACCCATCAGCTTTTAGTGGGCTAGAATTTCATTCTGGAATGTACAGCTTCTCTCAGAGTTAAATGTGTAATCATTCCCAGTTTAGTTTCTCATTTTCCTGCCTCAGGTGTATTTAACCATCTACGCCTACCCTCTGTTCTGTAAGACATGGCAGCTGAAGAGAAGGTTTGGACAGTTTCATCTTTCTGACTATGAGCAAGTAAAAAAAGCCATTCTAGACTACAGTTTGCTTTGTGTTACACCTACATAATTCACTGCAGTGACATGTGGATGTTTACAGAACATCTTGAATTCTTTAAATTGGAAAAGTAGTGACTAGGAATGTTTTGCTATCCCTAGTTCCCTTCTCCTACAATATTTTGAAAATTTCTTTTCTCCCTTGAATATTTGCCTTCATGACTCACCCAGCCCTTTCACCAAATTAATAATGCAACCGCTTGTACTGACCTTAACATGCAACGATTTGTAAAAACAGTCATGTTACAACTAACTGTAAATCAAATTGGTGCTGTCAACCTATTAAACATTGACTTCTTCCTCTATTGGTAAGAAATTTCCTACGTGGATCTTAAAGCTTTACTGAACATTTCACTCATTAAGACAGCTAGGTTTGTCACATGTTCTTTTTTTGTACTCTTTTAACTTCCTTGTACTTCCTACCACTCTGTTAATTGATAACTATAGTTCTTTGCATTTCCTAAAGTGGATGGTCAAAGGAAAGGATTAAAGAGGCAGTATATGAGTTCCCTGGCCAAGCTGTTATCAGTTGATCTTGAAATTTAAACCCACGTTCCGCAGTCTATCTGAAATTCTGTGCGATGACCTTGCCAAATTTCCTAGTTCACAGAGACATTGTGAAGCAGAAACTAAAGAAATCTCATGAAGCTCCAGCAGCTTAAGTGACTATGAGGAACAGATCTTTTGGTTTGTCCTTGAGGACATCAGAATCCTTTGCTGGTAAGGAATCCAGAAGCTTTTTTTAGACAACGAGTTCATAAACTGAGGCCAAGAAGAGAAAAACACAAGGCTTATACATAGTATATACCTTTGCCTCCTACAAACACTAGAAAGTCTTTGATCAAAATTTACATCATCACACACTTGCTCTGATCTGCTGCCTAGATCAGAGTGCCCAGGCTCCTAAACTGCTAACAGTAGAGCTTTGCTGCTGGGCACATGTTACAACTGTTCCAGCTCTGATAACGCTAAGCTGCTTAATGTCTTAGCTCTGATGCAATGCACAGCTCCTCACTGCTTTGCCCATCTTGCCTGAAGAAACCTGACCATCCCTTTGTACAGCCCAGGCAGCAAGCTGTTGCTGGCCTCTATTCCTCTGGCTAGGAGTTAAAGAGATCTCCTACCACTCCAGAGGTCCAGTTCAGTACCTGATTTACAGCAAGGATTTAAGACCATATATCTTAGCT